TAGTTGTCTCAATAACCACACTAGTAGAACTTGCGAGAATAGTAGTTCCATCATCAGCCACGCTGTTAGCAACAATATAACCTAAAGATATTCATATGTCTACGTTAGCATTGTTAATAAGCCACGATTTTTCATTAGATCAACGTCCAATATTATTATTCTTCCAGTGGCTTTACAACTCTTTTTTTGTCTTATCTTTTTGTTATAAAAATAGATCCATTTATTATTCTAAATATTAAACTTACGATGAATTGATCGTATCCCAGTGAGCCATAGATCTACTCTTGTTTCTCAGAAATGATCTTTTTCTCTGGTTTTTCTATATTTTATCTTTCTCTTTAATTTTTTCTGTGAGATTCGAATGAAACTTTCTTTTTTTATATAATCGACACAGTATTAATCAAGGAATGTTTCTTCTTTTGCTATTTATTGTTGTGATTTTTTTCATCAAACATGCGTGAATGAATCGGTGAATGTTTTTATTCTCTATTTTTTCTTTCGTGCAATAAACACGAAATACAAACACAATCAGACGTTTTGGCTAGAAAAGTTTTTTGTTTTTTGTGTAATCAGTCGAAACTTACAAGCCATCTGATTGTTTGTTCATTCCTGCTTTTCTCATGAACTTTGTTTTTTATACGATGGCGTTATTTTTGTTGTTTTTTTGTGTATTTTGTGAAATAAGGTGAAATATTCAGTTTATGGTACATTGATCGTACTCCAGTAGTCCAAGATCTATTTATGTTTTTCAGAAATGATTTTTTTTTGCAGATTTTTAATAGAAAACCTCTGTTTCTCATTTGTTTTGTCTGACCTATGTTGAGAATGATCAAAAGAGAAATAATGAAGACATAATCCGGTTTTTGATATTGAACTGTAATCTATATTTTTGTTTGCTTGTTTCTTTATGTCGTTTACTGTTATTTTATGAAATATGATTAAAAATTAAAAAGCCGTTATTCGAATTATTGCAATCTCATCAGGCATCCTTTAAGCGTTCAGCAATTTTTACCAAAACTGAATCGAGAGTTTCCCATTTTTCTACTGTGGTCAAATACGATTTCTGTGGACAAATACGATTTTTCTTAAGCTTTTGAGTATTTCTTCCTCTAGCAAAATTTATGTATTTTCTTCTTCTGGAAACTAACTAGTGAACGTCAGATTATAGTACTCCTCAAAAGTCGGAAGGAACAGCCTTGTAACTCAAGAACCATGATAGCTAGTAACTTCTAATTTTGTTTAGTCATATATTTCATTAAATGCTGATTACCCATCAAGAAGCTATCCAAATATTTTGTAATTTGAAGCGGAGTCAGTTTCTGCTAAAATTTGAGCGAACAACTGTATGGTAGCGATACATTATAATGGCAGGACCCGTAAGATGTTAGACTTTCAGTAAAAGTGACAATTACACTTGAAATTTTCATTTTTCGAATAGAATTGTTTGTACTTTAAATCATCCACTAAAAGCTGCCTATCCAGTGAATCATTTATTTTTCTATGCTGCCCTTTTTGCAAGAAAATAACAGATTAACGAAACTGTATCGTTCGCGTATGCATTACCACAAGGGGGAAAAAGCACATTCCGGAATGGGTACAAAATTTCTGGAATGCCATTCCAGAATGGCAGAATGTCGCCTTAGAATGGTGGACTGACATTCTAGAATAGGAGAAAGTTTTTGTTTTGGTTCTAAATACTAGCTACTAAATACCATTGCTACTATTCTGTAGGTCAAAGAAAAAATATGTGATTTGTCGTTAGAAAAAGCAATGACGTTTAAACAATTATTTTCCTTGTACACGTAAAAGTCTGTCAGACGATAGTTTATTTTTTTTATCATGGAGAAAACTATCCACTTTACTTTTTAAACCACCTTTGATAATAAATTTTACGTCATCTCCATTTTTAACGTCGAAATCAACTTGTTTTCTCAACTCCGCCAAATCTCTAATATCATTATTAAATATTGAAAACACATCATCATTATTTCGGGCTAGACTAAGTGACGTATCATAACCTTGAACCTCTAATATTTCTTTTGCCACCGGTCCGATTTCTTTCTCAATAAAATTATAAAAATTTATACCTTTTAATTTCAACACATCGTTTAAAATAAGATGTTTCATATTTTTACCGTTTAATTGTGTTCAGTTGATGACAAAATATGTTTTTCAAAATGAGATAGAGTAATAGCTGTACAAACGTACAGATTAAAATAAAGGAGACGTTATATTGAATCAACGTAGCAAAAAAAGGAATTTTTTACTGTATGTGAGTGCTTATAGTACTTTATTTTTTGTATTGGCTGGTAATACACGCTAGACCGTGCATATATTGAATACACATACAGAAAGAAGAAAAAACGTGCAATGTATTAAAATGAAGATTTGCTTTCGCTTGTAGTTTCTCTTACAACTATTTTTATCACCTGAAAACTCGACTAAAAGCTTGTCTACTAAAAAACGGAATGGTATTCTGGAATAGCAGAATGGCATTCTCGAATAAAGGTATTCCGGAATGGGTACACTCGCCTTGTGGTGCTTTTTCCCCCTTGCATTACCATGATCTTAGCGAATATCCATAGGTCCGATGTACAGATAACCAAATAATACCACGTGACTCACTTTCACATCCTCTATTCCCTCCCTTTCTACTGCACTGATAAGACGGAGAGATAATGAGAAATTGATAGAATTTCTTGTGACTTAGTTTAAGGGAAACGACAGGTAGACTACTGAGTACTGATTATATATTTGTGCGTATATCCAGGAAGAAAGTTTTCACATGTTTGCCCTCTCGTACACCGCTGACAAGCTTTTCCTCTATACTCTTTTTGCCTTACCACGTGGTTTTGAGTTATATACTACTCATTAACAGTTTTTCCTTGAAAATAGGCTGGAAGCATCAGTAACTTCTTGAAAAAGACTAGTTGGAGCCTTTTGTAATACGCATTGATTTGAACATTGTAGCTTTGCTCAGGGTTCCCGATCAGGGGTTGCTAACCTCTTGCTAAAAAAAGTTTTGGACTTTCTGGCAAAATCTTTGAAGTTTTTCCATCAACAACTTTCTGTCAAAAATTTCGAAAACATTTTTTCACCAACCACTTCTTTTTTTAAATTTTAAATTTTTAGCTCCTCCCATTCATAAGAACAATTTGAAATGCTGGCTTTGCTTACCAACAGGTATTTGCTTTGTAGACTTATTTTTTCAGTCATAAAACGTTGGATTTAATAATATTTTGATTTTCTATTCATCGTTCAACTGTTGTTTGATTATTTAAAAAGATTGCGCAAGAACAAAATCAACAACAACGATTTTGATACGAGTCGAAACAGCCATAACACTTCGGTACATAAATGATTTTTTCAAGAGTAAATCGTTTATTCATGAGTTATAAATGCTTAGAGTTGTAGAAACTGTTCAGCATCCTTATTCCGTCCTCACATTCCTTGTAATTTCGATATCTGTGTTACTCTAGTGTTCCATAACTCTCGTAATTTCACTGTTTCTGGCAACAAATATATTCCATAAGAATCACTATATATTTGAGTAGAATTCATATAAAATTATTTTTCATTCAAACTTCTATTTTAGAAATTATAAGAGATGATATTTATTGACACTTGTCTACCTTTATTTTTCTTTTAGGTACTTTTATTGTGTTTGCATGAGAGCTATCAATTCATACCTTGAAACCCCATACTTTAAGCCCGACTTAATCACACATTCTCTGAGCCAAAAAGCACCTAAAATAAACAGGTACAATAAAAGTAACTAAAAGAAAATTAAGGTAGAAAACTGTCGATAAATATCATCTCTTTTTTATTTCATCTCTTATAACCGCTACAACAGAAGTTTGAACGAAAAATAATTTTATATGAATTCTACTCAAATATATAACGATTCTTATGGAATGTATTTGTTGCCAGAAACAGCGAAATTATGAGAGTTATAGAACACTAGAGTAACACAAATATCGAAATTACAAAGAACATGAAGGCGGAATGCTAAACAAAAAGTTTCGAATAGGGGACGCTTATCTGAACGGTATAACGTCATTTCGATCTAAAATATCCGACGGATCCGATTAAAGTAACATAACGTCAATATTGTGGATCTTTTAACCATCTGTCGTTAAAATAAGATTACTGTTTTGATGACGCAGATGAAGTTGCTGAATTTTATTTTGTTATCGTCAATAATTTTTTGGTTGTTGTTTGCTTTTCACTTTCACAGTCTATATTTTCACGAGCAGTCGTTTCTTCCCCTAGTTCTAATTCGGAGTTCATTCTTTCTGAGCTAGTTTTTCAAATTTTACACCAAAGTTTTCCCCTTTTAATTAAGTTTTATCGATAAACTCATATTATACACATCTAATCAGTCGAGAGACGCGCGGGCGAGAGAGAATTTTAGTAGAAAGCACGAGTTATTGCTGAAAAAACCTAAGCTGTTGAATATAACTCTATTTAAAAATACTACGTTTCTTTCTAAACGTTTTTTTACCGTACTCGATTTAAAAATAATATGGTGAGTAAATAAACATGAGTGAGTGCATTTGATTTTTATCTTATGAAAAGAGATCGCCGATCAGGAACCATGTTCTATCGCCACGGGATCTGGATCTTTAGCTAGTACTGTGTATTTTTAAAATAATGCCTTTTTTAAATTTAAATATAATTTGTTGTCGATTTCCGAACTGAAGTACAAAATACACTTCAAACAGGAAACTTAGCAGTACATGGCAGCCTCTTGTGAATTTAACACTAGATTTTTCCATATGTCCCAGCTATACACTGCATCTAGCTGGTAACGGCTTTCTCCGCATTCCCAGAACTTGTACCTGGTGACTTCGAATAGACTTGAAATCGGATGGAGCATAGATAATCGACAACATTGTATCTTTCACCAATTTTGTTTTTGAAATAAATCTAAAAACCTGGTGAAAACCGAGTTTTACGAAGATTTGAGTTTTCAGGCTGTTTTCACCTAATACTAAAAAATTCACTGTTCACTCAATAACGAGTTGAAAACTTCAAGATCTACAATAATTAGCGCATTACATGTGATATTTATAAGAAATCTTGAGAAAAGAATTATAAAGTTCTATCCTTTGTAAAAAGAATTTCTAGAAAGCCTGTGAACACACCTATAATTTTGTGACTTTCGGATGGTATATTCAGCTTTACGCGGCCATATCCTGGAGTTTTCAACTGGTTCTGACGTTTGTTGAGTGAATAGTGAATTTTTTAGTATTAAAACAGCCTGAAAAGTCTAATCTTCGTAAAACTCGGTTTTCACCAGGTTTTTAGATTTATTTTCAAAAACAAAATTGGTGAAAGATACAACGTTGTCGATTACCTATGCTCCATCCGATTTCAAGTCTATTCGAAGTCACCAGGTACGAATCCTGGGAATGCGAGGAAAGCCGTTACTGGCTAGATGCAATGTATAGCTGGGACATATGGAAAAATCTAGTGTTAAATTCACAAGCGACTGCCAGGCTCCGTTAAGTTTCCTGTTAATACATATTGTAATGCTTTTCAAATGCAATTTTTCTATACTATACACGAGTTGGATCATCTTTCACTTATATAGGAAAAAAGGATCGAAATGGTCATACAGTTCTCGACTCGGGATACTAGTTGATCAAAAACAATTTCTTTCAGTGCTCAACTGATTACTTAGGACGAGTCATATGGTACTTTGTACAGTTTTTCTTTGCCTATTTTTCTGTACAAAGCTTTATCCGATCTCTAATTGAGATTTTGATAAAAAGAATATTTTCGGAAACGTTAATGCATTTGACACACTGTTACAAAAAATTTTTAGGATGTTTCTAAGGGTCGCATATACCGAGAAATGTGCACAAACATTTTCACTACAAATTCCGATTGAAAGTAACCTAAAAGCATCGCTTAAAATTGGTCTTCGGCCTTTCGCTCACAAGAATGTATGTACTTAAAAACAATGTTCAAGGTTACTGTATGTAGTTAATACACGTTTTTAGAAATTTCGGACTGCTTTTACCAAAACCCTTACGGATGCTGCCACTCAGGTTTCAAAAAATCAAGTACTGCAAAGTGAACTAGAGCAAGCACTTTTGCAAAAGTATGTGGTAAATGAAGAGTTATTATGCGCACCTGTTGCCATGGTCGATTTCTTTTATCCTACGAGTTTCAGCAATGATAGAATTTTTCTTTCTACATTTTTCTGTTTTGCTGGCATTTATTGTGATCCTGTACTTTCAGTATAAGAAACGAATATTTTCACATCATACCATCGTCTCATTTTCGTAGTCAATATGAATCATCTCACAAAGGGATCCTCAATATATTTATTAAATTTGTTGAGTTAACTTCTGCTATATTATTACCTTTGATTAATTTAATACAGTTACGGTACTTGTTCATATCTTTGCTGCTACTGATGTACGTTTTGTATAAAATCCCGACTAAATTTTGAAGAATATTGGCTACAGTGAATTAGATGGATCATTCTTTAAGAAATATACTAAAAGAGCATATTTCTCTACTACTATCAGCAACTATGCAAATATCCTGTAATTGGGTAAGGCCAGTTTCCGCTAAAACTTGAACGAACAACGGATGGTAGAGCAGCGATGCATTATAACATCAGATACTATCGTGCAATAAACTAACAGTTTTCATACTATCTTCTTTGAAAAATAAGTAAACTACTCTTTGACAGAAACGCATAAACTAAAAGTTTCTTCATAAAATATAGTCTAATCAAAAATAAGTAAAAATAAATATACGATAAAAAAGAAATAATAAAAATAAAGATACGAGAAGTGACAGAGACTGAAATAACAACAAAAATGATGTAATTACGTTCGAGAACCTTTGCTATTCAATACTTTCTTCAAGATGCTTGTTAATGCTATCAGATCATGAAAATCGAGAACGCCATTTCTGTTCAAATCAACGAGATCAAATAATGCTTTTGCCAAATGTTTGCTAACAAAACCAAATCCTATTTCTTGTAAAAGTAACTGGACATCTTCAACAGTGATTTTTCCATCACCGTTCTTGTCAAATGTTTTATACAACTGATACATTTGTTTCGCATTACTTAACGCATTACCACCATCAGAACCACTTTTTCC